TATATATATATATATATATATATATACACACACACACACATACACACACACACTATTAGACATTGCCAGGCATGCCAAACTTTAAACAAATCTAACTTATTTCCACACAAATATTTGTCTTGAATATATACTGAATATGGGCAACGTAGTAATGGTCCCATTCTTAGAGTTAATTTATTCATTTTATTTTAGCTATCCCATACCATTAATGGACACAGTTTTATGCTTTCCTCCCAAATGCCAAAGCAGGAGAATAAATCTTAAATGTTATATAAGACGTTTCCCCAAAAATGTATTGGTTATGTCAGGGACCAAACTGACTTTAAAGAGTGGATGCTGATCATTGTCCATCAGTGAAACTAGCAACAATGAATTACAGAAATACTTAGGAGAGTATCAAAGGTTAGAAGAGAAGGGACAGAAAGATCCTGAAAAGGAAAGAAGGAGAAAAACAGAGTTTAAGCAGATATCTTTTATTAGACCAACTAGATTTCTGAAAAAAAAAAGGCTTTATTTGCAAGCTTTCGGGCACAAGCACCCTCCTTCAGGCATAGGAGAAAAGACTGTAAAAGTTCTCCTAGGCAGAACTTTCTACCTAGGAGATGTAGAAGAGAGGAAGACCATGGGTAGAGAGAGGAGGGGAGGGAAGGGGAGAAGGGAGGGAAATGTGTCAAGGAATGCAAGCAATCACGTGAAGGCCCTTCCCTTCCCTCCCCTCCTATCTCTACCCATTGTCTTTCTAACTTCCGCTCATTTGCCTTTTTGCAGACATGCTAGTTGTAAATCTGCTTCTTTTCTACCTTGGAGAACACATAACATCAGCAGAATCTCCCTATGCCCAATGAAGGATGTTTGTGCCCAAAAGCATGCAAAGAACTTTTTTCCAACTTTTTAGTTGGTCTAATAATAAAAGATATTACATCTATCCAAAGAACCTTGCCCGTCAGTGGCATAATCAAATACTAAATAAATGCACAGTAATCAGAGTTACTGTCCAGTAGCTCCAGAAAACACCTTTTTAGTGATGCTACTGTGCAGTAGCCTAGTAATACTATGCAGTAGCATATTATCACTGTCCGTAGTGTGACAAGCTATGGTGCATTATTATTAGGCTACTGTGCAGTTAGCATCTTGTGTAAATGTACCCAGTAGGATGTAAATCTAAACTGTCACTATCAGGTTGGGCTTCTGATATGAGAGCATGCACAACCCCCTGGGCGTTCTGCTTTCCATGGGATCCCAATTAGAAAGCAGCCCAAGCATTGTTTTAATTGTTGGTACCTTTCTGCAGTCCCCTTTAAGATACGCTGCTACACAGAATGCTGTATAAACTGCCCCCCCCCCAACTAAATTTTAAAGTTACTGTTGGCTTGGGTTTCTTTGACCTATAATGTAAATTCTCAACATATCAGCCCAGCCTTAGCAGATAAGCTTTATGAAATGAGACTGTGTATTCTGGTCATCCAGCCAGAAGGAAATCCTTGCACTGAGAAGCTGCATTAAAAGAGGGATGTTAAGGGAAAGTGGGAAAAGAGCACCATTGGAGTATAATGCATCTTTCATACAGCAGGCTATGCTGACTCAAAAGTTTTGGCAAGCAGTCAGCAAGTGTACACTATGCTAGTTATAGGAGCCCTATCTTATTCTTCCACTGATGCTTGAGTTACTCTGCAAGAT